CTCTTGCTAGGTTCCATCTACATTGAACATCCCTTTGCTAGGGCCCATAGCTCTGCAGTCCCATAAAGCTGTGCAGTGCAGACAAGTCCACTGTACTTACAGACACACATTTCATTTGGCAGCATGTGGTGTGTGTTACAATCGTGTTCAGCCCCGAGATCCTCCTCTTTCTACCACACAACAGAAAAATCTCTTCTTTTAATAAGCCATAGGAACCAGCCATATCAGGTAAAGGTACTCACCACCATTCCTGATGACCTCAGTTTGATTCCTAGAACCTGCACTATGGGAGGAGAGAATTGCCTATTTGGACACTGCCTTTAGATCTCTGCCTGTGTGCCATGATGTACACACACTCAATACAGTATATTTTTCACTGTATGACACCAGCCACAGCTCTAAGCCCCTTTCTTCCACTACCAACACCACTGCTTGGCTGCAGCTCTGTAAGATGTACTGGTGTGAGCCTTTAGGCTTCCAGGCCCAGACTCACCTTCAGTGCTCACAGGGAGTTCTCATTATCTGTAAAATTAGAACCCTGCACACACACAAGAAGACAGTGTGAAAGGAGAAACAGCCATAGCCATTGCATGGCCCATCCAGAGTCTGGCCTTTCAAGTTTCCAAAGATCTGCTTCTGCTGTTTTCTCTGCCTCAGACTCATCCATAGTTGCTTAGAAAAGAGTTTGTAACTATTTGTAAAAATGACTTATACTAGCCAAACTTAACCCCAGACTGTGGAAATAATAAGCCCCATTGTAACAAGATTTAGCAACCAGAGGCCTTTGTGAAATATTGTTGTATCCTTTAAAACAAGATTATTATCTATCTATGGCACCCACGTCTGGTTATGATATCAGGTTGTGCTTTTGATGACTTTATAGCTTATTCCTGGCTGTCTAATAGAACTCTCTGTGGTGATGGAAGAGCTCTATATCTGCTGGCAGTGGAACACCTCACATGTGCTGAGCTGTGCATCTGAACTTTTAGCTCCCTTTAATCATAGTTAATTTACACTTCCATCCCCACACTTGGCCATTATCTATAGCTGTATTGGACAGGCTTAAAGCCTCCTTGCCACAGAAATTAAACATGTATTTATATTTTTAAATCACGTTTATTTATTTAGGTGCTGTGCGTGCGTGCGTGCGTGCGTGCGTGCGTGCGTGCGTGCGTGCGTGCGTGTGTGCAAGTGAGTGTGTGTGTCCTGTACACAAACATGCAATCACATATGCCACAATATGAGTGTAGAGATTAGAAGATAGATTGTAGAAGATGGTTCTCTCCTCCCACCATATAGGACCAAACTCAGGTCATCAGGCTTAGTAGCGAACACCTTCACCTGCTGAGGCATCTACCAGCCTCCAAACTGGACTCTCTTATGGACACTCTGCAGAGTTCCTCTATGTTTTGTGTGTTGGTTGGGACTGGTAGGGTAGAGTTTGTTAGTAAACCCTGACTCTTTAATCCCTCCCAGTGTAATTATTGGTATATAGAAATCATTTGACACTTATCCCAAGAATAATAAGCAGGAAACATTTTGCTTAAAATCTGTGAGAACTGAATGAATAAACAAAAAAGGCTTTCTTCAAAACCTAAATATATGATTCTATTCCAACATCTGTAGTGTCCCCTGCTCACTAAGGAAGAACTACTTTGAACCAGATTTTCTCCCTCCCTCCCTCCCTCCCTCTCTTTTTCTTTCTTCCTTCTTTTCTTCCTTTCTTTCTTTCTTCTTTTCCTTATATATTACATACTGGCTGCAGTCTCCCTGCCTTCCCTTCTCCCAGACCCCTTACCTCCCCTCTTCCCCAGATCTACTCCTCCTCTGTTTCCCTTCAGAAAAAAAGCAGGTGTATCAGGGACTTTAATCAACCATAGTATAACAAGTTACAATAAAACTGGACACAGACTTCATATCAAGGCTTGACAAGGTAACCCAATTAGGAGGAAAGGGGTCTTAAAAGCAGACCAAAGAGCCAGAGACAGCCCCATTCCCACTGCTAGAAATCCCATAAGAATACCAAGCTAATAAACCTAGGTTTCTTGCATTATTTTCCTTCTCTGCTTTGGAAATATTAAGAATCCCCAATAGGTCTCTGCTCTCATATTCTGCCCCTGTACCTACTATCCATGTTATTGGTGAAAGCCTAAAGATACAAGTGAATTTTTTCTAGAAAATCTAATCTACTTACCAAGTTTAAGCATGCAAGCAGTTGACAATATTAGGTAACCTGTGATTATAAAAACATGCAATCTAAAAGCCCTGGCAACCCTCCCTATCTCCATCTCCCTCCAACACTGACATGGAAGAAAGATATCAAATTCCAAGAAAGGAGAAGAAGGAAAGTGTGCACAAGAAATCTACTGTCCAATGTGGTGCACATAGCTTATGTGAGTTTTTTAATTCTTAGAAATGCCTGGAGTAGGTTTTAAGTCTTCTTAAAATAGTGTGATAAGGCCAGGCATTATGGTGCATGCCTTTAATCCCAGCACTCAGGAGGCAGAGGCAGACATATCTCTGTGAGTTCAAGGCCAGCCTGCTCTACAGAGTGAGTGCCAGGATAGGCTGCACTGCTACACAGAGAAACCCTGTCTTGAAAAACCAAGTTAAAAAAAATATTTTGATAAACACATGAGTTTATCATTCCACAATATACATGAATGGCTAAGCATTTACACAACAAATATGTATAATTTTTCTGTCAATTTCAAAACTAATGCAAATACATAAAACTAAAAATAAAGAATAGGATATTAATCCACCTGTCTACTACAAGTATGACCTCAGATGTCAAGTGACCTCATAGGTATTTTCAAAATGATTTTCTCCTTGACCTTCTACATGCCTTACTCTATGTGTCTTAAAGATGGAATATTTTATGTCTGCAAACTTATCTTCATCTCTGGGATGATGACTTGGAAATATAGCTACTTCTGGCGATTCTAAATATGTTCCTGAACCTTCAGTGTAGGGCATCTGCTGCCACCCTTTAGTATCTCTGGATCCTGGTCTCATCACCTGCCTCCCATAAATAGGTCCTCATGTGTAGGTCATCTAGACCATGAAAATCAGTCATCGTGTCTATATGTTGGTATACCTGTCTGCAGCAGATCTCTCCACTGCAGCCCAGGCTGGCATTGAGCTGTCCACCTTCCTGCCTCAGATTCCTCAGTGCTGGAATTACATTTGGGCAGTATATGGCTCAGAATCATCTTTTAGTCCTCCCCTCAGAGAAAACATAGTGAGCAAATATCCACCACATATGCATTACCTAGGTCCTCCATGCTTCATATGGCCACCAGTTCTCCTTAGTTCCTAAGCAAATCCAAGGTTTGCCAGTCACTCTATTGAGCTGTAATTCTCATGCCTCAAATCCAGCTTCCACTGTTACCATCTAACTCTTCCAAAATCGAGTATTCAGTCTCTTCAGTGGCTCTCCCCAGCATTAAGCTACATAAGCAATATTTTGCTCAGGGCCCTTAACCTTAACCTTCACCTGACCATCTCCATCATCACTTTCTCACTGATATAAGATCTCATTCTCTGTCTTGACTGTACTTTCCCATCCTACTGTTGGCTGCAGAGATTCTGCCTAACTCTGTCCTAGAACATCCTCTCTTTCCCACACTATCTGTCCTTCTCTCAGCCAGCTCAGTTCAGTCTGCTCCATGCAGCTCCCCATAGGCTAAGTCTCTGTGGTCTTCAGGATCCAGTGTTGCCCACTGATTTACCAGTCAGCTGTCTTTAGATGACTGTGTGGTATGGCTATGAGCTTACAGATGACACACTGGACCAGTTCCTGGTACGTGATATGTTCTCCATGACTTTGAGCTGTATTCGCATGACCATTTTTGTTATTTATACTTCTAGTAGAATAATAGTACTGCAGCATGCTCTCTTTTAAAATTTGTGTGTTCTTAATAAGCACAAACCCTGTAGGAAAATTCCACGTTTGGATGTTTGGCAATGCAGTTTGTGGAAGCATAGAGTGGAATGAGTTATAGGAGGTTGAACTAATTACTGTGAGTGTGGAAAATAAGTTTGGCATTGAAAATTCTTTTAGAAAATCTTTACTCAGTTTGTATATACATCCAAATTATAATATATTTAATCTCTTCTCGGGGTAGCAGCCCTCCTCCTACCCATCTGTCATCTCAGGTTCACTGAGCAAATGCTAATTTACCTTTTTGATATACCATTTGACAACTTCTGGTCTCAGCTATCACACGGAAGGTTGCACAACAGTGAATTACATTTGAATCCATATTGTCAAGTGTATATTTAGAATAAAATTATTTGCATCTTCCATAAGCAAACACTTTAAAAGTAAAGTTGTATATCGCATGAACATGCACATGTAACTTGAATGCAAAAGATAAAAGCAGGGCAGAAAAAAACATGATAACTATTGCTTGGGAAATTACTACATTGACTCAGTCAATTCATGGAGGGAGATCTGGACAGCCTGGGATGGACTTGTGTGGCCCTGCTTCTGGGTGTCCATCCCATTAATCCATTAGCTACAAAGAGCTTTCTTTTTGTTCTAATTATCTCAGCTACTCATGTTAACTATGCTAAAAGCTAAATACAAGCAATCATATTCTTGTCATCTGTTTTATCTGCCAACTCCTCAGAAATAATTAACCTATATGGAGAGCAGCAGTTCTTCACTCAAAATGATTTTACTAATGTGATGGGAGAATCATGCAGTAAGAATTCTAACAACCTACCACTCGGTGCAAAAATACAGATACTCAGTGCAGGCACAGACAGCTGTTCAATTCAAAGCAAAGAAGAAAATTGCCCATGTTTACTCTTGTTGTATAAAATACAATGGATATTTTAGATATGCCAGCTATTTTGTATTTTCTCTTAAATTTAGATATTAATTTTATTTAATCATGAGTAGTGGGCATTTTTATTTTAAACTGAAAATGTTGATTTTTAACATTTCAAAGTCAAAATATTCACATAACTTTTTCCTTTTTTATTTCTAGGATAAGCAATAGACCAAAGTGTTGAAGATACAGAGAAGAGCTTCAGCTGAGAAAGACCCAAGTAAGGCTTTTATAAGATACCACAGTCAAGGACAACCATTTCCTAAGCACTAGGGGAGAAAGGTTAAGAAGAGCCTCATTTCTTCATTGACTGACGATTGACTTTCAGAAATAGACCTAGAAAGAGTGCTTGCTGTTCTTACAGGGGGCCCAAGTTTGATTCCCAGCACCCACATGGTGGCATCTCCAAATGCAGATTCAGTCATAGAAACAGACCCAACAACATAGCTTTGAGTATTGTGATTCTTCACAGTGGGGCAGCTCCCCAATGCAAAATTCACCTTGGTTTACACACAGTTCTGCTCACCAGGTAACAGCAGTGGAGCACAGCTGTAAAAGCAACTCACTGTAACCCCTAACATGAAGGGAAACAAACCTGCCCATGACACAGTAAGCACCAAAGGGAGGGCTTGGAGGGGCCAACTCTTGCAGCTCACACTTTCTCCATCATCCCTCAGCACTCTTCCCCTTTCTGCACATCAGACACTTTATCCCCCGCGCAAGCTGCTACTATCTCACCCCTGTTGTGTGTGGAGCTGTGAATTCACCATGTACTTTCTCAGATCCTCAGTGTGGAACTGTGAATTTACCATGTGCTTTCTAAGATCTCCCATTGTGAGCTGGGAATTTACTATGTACTTTGTCAGATCCCCCATTGTGGAACTGTGTATTTACCATGTTTTTATTTTGTTATTAAGCTACTGCACTCTTTTCATCTGAACGTGGATCAGTAATTCAGACATTTCTGAATGCTTTTAAAGTTGAGCAGGTTCAAAAGACCTACACCATTTCTGTTTTATCAGCATTTTGGACAAAATTTTGCAAATTGTGTTAAATAATACTTTTCTGGATCTTCATTTATCATACTAGAGCAAAAAATGTAACTCCTTGATAAACACTTCATTACCTTAAAACCATATTGCCAATGTTCAAGCATATTTCTCTCTAAAATATTATTTGATATTAATTGGTTGACTCATTACAGTTTCTCAATTCTTCCAACAGCCTGCCTAGCCAATTACAGCTCTGCTATCCACCTCTCCTGTTTCCTTGCACGAGACTTCTTCCTATAAAAGGCAACAGAGGTTTTATCCTCTGTCACCTGCCTGCCTGGCTTCATCTCCCATGTTGGTCTCTATCTTGCGGACTTCGTGATGAGAGTCGCCTGCTGTCTTGCTGACATATTTTTGTAAGTATTTTTGGCATGTCACTGCTCAAAACGCTTGCCCTCTCCTTCACGTAGGTGTAGACCTTAGCTCTTTCCTTCCTAGGCTGAACTCTCCCATCTGTCTCCAAATTAATTTCCTTCATGAAAACTAGACATCAATTGTAATCTGGTGTGTCAGTTTTTAAAATATATTGACAGGATGTCTTGGTCCAATTCAAACCACACTCCTTTCTCTGTTTTATTTTTTTTATTTGTTTGGTTCTGTTAAGATCAGTACAATCTATTTTGCATTGAAGAACCAATGCATAAGTTAAGAGGATATGCTCTGGAGCCAGGCATTAGTATGCTCTTCCACACCATATGTCACAGTTCCTGGTTCCCTCTCAGCCCCTGTCTTGACACAGACCCTTGAGTGCATTTAGATGAAGTTTAAGAGAATTGGCTAGCACACAGTAAGAATATAGGGGTTCATTATGGGTTTAAAGAGAAATCTGGCAGTAGTGAAATGTCCAGAGATCTACAAGGATGACACCAACTAACAATCTAGGCAATAGTGGAGAGGCTACCTTAAATGCCCTCCCCCGATAATAAGATTGATGACTATCTTATATGCCATCCTAGAGCTTTCATCCAGTAGCTGATGGAAGCAGAAGCAGACACACACAGCTAAGCACTGAGCTCAACTCCTGGAATCCAGTTGCAGAGAGAGAGGAGTGATCAGCAAAGGGGTCAAGACCAGGCTGGAGAAACCCACAGAAACAGCTGACCTGAACATGGACCCCAGACTGATAGCTTGGAAACCAGCATATGATGACCCAGACCCCATGATTATGGGTGTCAGTTAGGAGACCTGGGCAATCTATGGGGCCTCTGGTAGTTGATAAGTATTTATCCCTAGAATACAAATGGACTTTGGGAGCCCAATCCATATAGAGGGATACTCTTTCAGCCTAGACACATAGGGGAGGTCCTAGGCCTTGCTACAAATGATATGACCGACTTTGAAGATCCCCCCCATGGAAGGCCTCACCCTCCCTGGGGAGCAGAAAGGGGATGGGATAGGGAGTGGGTGGGAGGCAGGGGAGGAGGGAAGGGAGAGGGAACTAGGATTGATGTGTAAAAGAAGCTTGTTTCTAATTAAAATTAAAAAAAGAATACTGAGAAAGATAGATATGGATGATGTGGGGGCATAGCTTTAGGAGGAGGTGATAGCCTAATATTTTCAAATGATTATCATTTTCAAATGATTATTTTCAAAATATAAATTAAAAGTGAATAGGACCTGGATATAGCTGAGTTGATGGGATATTTGTCCAGCATGATCAAAGCCCTGGATTCAACCCCCAGCTCCATATAGACAGGATGTGGTAGCACATAGCCATAATCCTAGTATTTGAAAAGATGGAGGCAGGAGGATCAGAAATTCAACATCATTCTAGGCAAGTGATTTTGAGGCAAGTCTGGGATATCATGAGACTTTTCAAAAACTATAGATATATTCATCTCATTTCAACATTTGCTCAAATTTTGAAATAATAGAATATGTCACTCAATATTGCATATTCCCCAGGTCATCACAAAGCCTTAATTTTAAAACTCCTACCATACATTCACAACTATTTCTCCCAAAATACCCCAAAATGTTATGGCTCCTTTAAGAAATATTCAGACTGTCCTCTCAACTCAAGTGAGCTTAAGGGAAAAGTGAAATGTCCATATATTGATAGCAGGAGTACAGTGCATTTAGACTTAACTTTGCAAACTTTCTATTAACGGAGTTTGATTTAAACACAGCCATTTGACTTACCCCAGAGTGCTTCTGGACAATGCCATGACATCCACATTCTCACATTCTTTAAGAAAGACTATTTGATTTCAAAATGGTATCTCAATACTCATGATGATGTAAGCCTTCTAATACCATGCTGTTTGGAACTTGCATTTTGATTGCTTGTTCTTGATACACTCATCAATGAATGAGATCAGAATGCATTACATAAAAATATTATATAACCTGCTTCATGAATTCTCAAGTTTAAAATTTCCAAGACATCTAAAAATGGTATAGCCTGTCCAAATAGCTATAAATGTAGGAACCAACCACTGCACTCAATACAGATGTTAAAAATCTCAATAAAATTCCACAGCCACTAAATTCAGTTTTTCCAGGGAAAGGGGGTATTCTGCAGCAGAACTTTACTGCTGATAACTCAAGAGAGAAGCAGTAATGCTATTCCTGTGTTTAGCAAGTTGTTCTAGTAACTAATTATTTGGGCTTACCAGGGTTATTGGATAAAAATACAGGCAGGGCAATCAAGAGCCTCCATATGCATCATTAGGTTGTTTGTTTATCTCTCAGATGGTATTAATACAGCACTAATCACTACCAACTGCCTTGGCTGTATCTCAGAAGTTCTGATAGGTTGTGTTCCTGTAATCATTTGTCTCTAAGAATTTTCCAGTCTTCCTTTCTGCTGTCTCAATAGCACACTGTTCATTGAAAATTGCTTAGTCTCCAAGTATTTTGTGGCTTCTGTATCTTCTTATGTCATTATGTCTAGATTTATTTCATTGTGGTTTGATAGGACACCAGGACACTGTTTAATATGACTTGTATACTACCATATGATCAGTTTGGAGAAGGTTCCATGTGCTACTGTGGGGAAGAAATGTGTATTTCTTAGCTGTTAGGTAGAATTTTCTGTATCTATCTGTTGAGAGCAAATTCATCTGTAGTATGTTTAGCTCTGAAGTTTCTTGGTTTTAGTTTGGAAAGCCTGTGTAGATATGAGGGTGGATTGAAGTCCCTTACTATTATTGTGTCAGAATCTGTGTGGTCATTTCTGTCTTTTAATATTTGTTATGAGTAATATTTTAATATGTGTAATTATGGGTTCCAATATTCTGTGCATAGATATTACAGTTATATATTCTTGATTGATTGTTTCCTTTGTTAATTATAGTACCTCATTTTATCTCTTTTAATTAGCTTTGATTTGAAGTTTACCTTGATATAAAGTTTGCAATACCTGCTTGTTTGCATTTCCCATTTGCTTGGTTGCTTGTTTTCTATCTTTTGCTATTAAGCATTTCGGTATCTTTATTGATAGTGTGCTTCTTGAGGACAACCAACATATAGTTCATTCTAGATTTTTAATCTAGTCTGTCCCCTTTAGTGGTGATTTAAGACCTTTTCTGTTTAAAATTATCATAAGAAGGGGCTTACTGTTTCCTATACATGCACTGGGTCATATTCTATTTTTCTGGATTATTTGTATGTCTTCCTTTTCTTCTCCCATACTAGCACGGAGGGTTTGCTGAGTTGCTATTTTGGACATAGTTGTTTCTTTCCCAAGTCAGTTTGTTTGTCTCTTTCATAAAATGTGTGTTTCCATCTATTCACATGAACAAAGCTGTCTTTCCTCTTCCTTTGCAGAGTACATTATCAAGAACCTTCTGCAGGGCTGGGCATTGGTGGCGCATGCTTTTAATCCCAGCATTCAGGAGGCAGAGGCAGGTGGATCTCTGTGAGTTCAAGGCCAGCCTGGTCTACAGAGCTAGGGCCAGGATAGGCTACAAAGCTACACAGAAAAACCCTGTCTCGAAAAAGAACCTTAAAAAAGAACCTTCTGCAGTAATAACTTGGTTGTCATGAAATTACATGGCTCATTTAATTAGAATTGTAGACAACGAGTAGGTTTTTAGTGTAATTGTTTCTAAATAATATAAAATATTAACTATTATAAGATGATTCTATATTGGTGGCTGTGTTTATACCAAAGCCTGTGAGTTGCCTACATGAAATTCAGATGTATTTACATCTAATACATCTTGTTCTTATTAAATGAGGCAAGCTAAGCCTGTGATTATTGTTTTAAATACTTACTTTTATTTTATGTGTATGTGCCCACATTTATTTATGTGTACTACTTGTGTGCCTAGAGCCCGTGGAGGCCAAACAGCTGCTTCAGATCTCCTGAGATCTAGGTTAAGATGTTTGTGAACTGCCATGTGAGTTCTGGGAATCAAACTGGGGTCCTCTGCAAGAGCAGCAAATGCTATTAAATGCTGTGCTCTGCTCCAGACCCAATTTACTTAGGTCTTAGATTTGTTTCCTTTATTTGTGGTAGTGAGAAAGGCAAACTCCCAGCTGGGAGGCCTGCAAGGAGAAATACAGTAAGAAAGAAGTGTGGCAACAGGATGAGAAGATCAAAAAGGAATCCCAGGTAGGGGCAAGACATGAGTCCTGACTCAGGAGTGAAGCAGAACATGCGAGTTCACAGAAACAAGGGAGTTCCTGCTAAAAACATACAGCAGCTATAGAATGGAGGAAGACATAGTTAAAGAAGAACGGGCTTGCTTGCTTGTTTGGTTGTCCTTGGTTTTGTGTGTTTTTTTTTTTTTTCTGAGGCAAGGTCTCATTTGTAGACTGTGCTGGCGTAGACCTCATTGTATGGACCAAGCTAGCCTTGAACTCACAGAGACCTGCCTGCCTGTGTTTTCAAAGTGCTGGGATTATAGGTGTTCGACACCACAATTGCCCGGTTTTTTTCTAAAATGCCTATTTCTTAGAGCTGTTTCCCTTACACAGTAAAAGTAAGTATAAGTGCAGAGGATTGCAGATGCTCTGCTTCTATAACACACCCCTTCTTCACTCTCAACATCCCACACCCACGTAGAACATTTGTCACAATGCACGTGACTGTACTGACAGCTCACTGTTGCCCAGTGCCCAAGGTTTACATTTGGGCTCACTGTAGGTGTTCCGTATTTTGTGCATTCGGGTAAAGTCCATATTGTAATACATTATTACAGTGTCTGATGGAGTATTTTCACTGTCATCAAATCCTCTCTGCCCTTGCTAATCATCCTCCCAGACACCAACCTCTGGAAAGCACTGACATTTTTACTGCCTCTGTAAATTTTGGTTTTTCTACAATGGCACATAGTTAGAATCATACAATATGTAGACTTTCCATTTGGCCTTCCTTAAGAATGCACTAAAAATTTAAGGTCCAGTT